CCCTCCCTCCCTCCCCCCTCCTCCCTCCCCTCCCTCTCTTGTCCCAGTGCGCGAGGGTCCCTCGCTCGGCAGGCACGTGCCTCGCAGGCCCGTGCGCGAGGGCTTCTGCGTGTCCTGCCCTGCGTGCCTCCCTCCGGCGGCGAGCTCGATGGGGGGGGCCAGGCGGGAGGGGGGCAGGCCTCCGTGGAGGGCTCGGGAGCCCTCGGGCCCGTCGAGGAGTTGTCGGAGCCCTCCCTCCGAAGGCAGGGATCTGGGCCTCCCAGATGGGGTCTGAGTAGATGGGGTCGGAGGATTTCGCCGCATCGCCGATGCATCGGCGATGCATCCGTGATGCGGCTCGTTGTGGAGCCAGATGCGCTTCACGCCGATGTCGCCGATGCATCGCCGACGTCGACGATGCATCGCCAGTGCATCGCCAGTGCATCGCCGATGCATCGCCGATCCTGTGCAATCCTCCTACCCTATCTTCTCGGACCCCATCTAAGAGGCGTCTAAGAGAGCACATCTCAGAAGGCTGTTGGGCTTCCGAGAAGCCCCGCCGCCCTTCGAAGACGCAAACACGGCATATACATAAAGTTTTGGCGCTCCGCGGGGATTTCTTGGAGGGCCCTGGCGGCGCCAGGTCCAAGAAATCCGCGCGGAGCGCCAATAGTTGATGTTGATGTTTTTTGTTTGTTCCTCTAGCCCTCTGAGAAGGCCTCCTCATTCTCACTCCCCCCCTCGCTCGCTGCCGATCCCTGGACCGTCAGGACGACGGCAGCAGTACAGGTCCACCTCGTTCCTCTCCCTCCCCCCCTCCCGGGAGAAGGAGGCAGCAGACAAGCAGGCGAGGAGAGGGGATGGAAACGGATTGAGGTGGACGCGTCTAAACGCTCGGTTCCAGTATTCCGCTCTTCTCCTCCCTCGTGGAGGCGTCGATGCCCGCGCGCTTCTCATGCGCTCCGTCCTGAGCCCCCCCCAGGCGGTTGCTTCGTTGTCACGACGAACGACTACCTCGCGCGTCGCGACGCGGAGAGCCGCGATCTCGGGCAAATATGAGATTCCTGCGAGCAGTTCTCCACACCACAAGCACCCCCTCCCTGTCCTCCTCCTCCTCCTCCTCCTCCTCCTCCTCCTCTTCCTCATCCTCTTCCTCCTCCCTCCTTCTCCTGCTTACTGGCTCGCCCATCCATGGGGGAGGCGGATCCCGCAGAGTGCGCAGCATGGCGATGCAGAGAGAGAGAGAGAGAGAGAGAGGGAGAGAGAGAGGGAGAGATGGAGAGAGAGATGGATCTATCTATCTATATATATGTATATAAATATATATGTATCAATGGGCATCATCATATTCATTTTCATCTATATATATATAGAGAGAAATATATATATACATATAGAGTGAGAGAGAGAAAGAGAGAGAGAGAGAGAGAGAGAGAGAGAAAAAAAGAGAGAGAGGAAGAGCGGGCTACCCCCTGCCGCCCCAGCCAGGGAATACCCGTGAGGCTGGCGCGGGGCCCTCCAGGAGCAGCCCAGGCCGAGGGCTCCAGCTCCTCGGCCCCTTGGGCAGGGGCGGCGGCTGCAGCTCCCGAGGGGGGGCCCGAAGTCGCCGCAGCCGCCGAGCAGGCTGAGGTACGGCAGCAGGTCCTCGTTATATTGGCCTGGTCGGTCGAGCCGTCGAGCGTGTAGCCCGTCGAGCAGGCTGGCCTTGGCGCAGCCGAGGGCATGTCCTCGAAGTCGCCGCAGCCGTCGAGCAGGTTGGTCTTCGCGCGGCGCCGGGTCTTGCGTGGTGCGATTCGTGGGCTGTCACCTCTCGCAGGGGGGCGCGACCGTTCCTGCTGTCGCCCATGTCGTGCTTGCGCAGGTCCACCGGCCCGATCTCCACGTCGCCATCCAGGTGGTGCCCGAGCCTCGGCTGCGCCTGCGGCAGCGCGGCGGCCACCAGGACGCCCGGGGCAGGCGTGAAGGCCGCCAGCGGCAGGGGAGGGCGCAGCGGCCTGGTGACCGCGGGGGTGCGGGCATCCCCCCCCCCCTGTGGCTGCGGCACCGTGGCCTGTCCAGGAAGAGCGGGCACCTGATGGCCAGGGCCCTGGACTCAGCCACGCGCAGAGGGGGGTGGGGGGAGGGGGGAGGGCTTCTTAGAAGCACCCCTGCTTCTTAGAAGGCGCGGGCCTGATCTATAGATGTAAGGCCGGCGCCTTCTAAGAAGCAGCCTGCTTCTAAGAAGCCCTCCCCCCTCCCACCACCCCCTTGTGCGCGCCGCCAAAGGACGGCAGCTGCGCCTGGCAGTCGACAGCGCAGCCGTGGACCTCGAGCACGGACGCTGCGGGCGATCGGGTCAGCTGCTCCGCCATGGGCAGCCTCCAGGACACGGGAGCTCCTCTCGGTTCTTCGTTCCTGGCGGCTAAAGAGGTTGTCAAACGCAGCCTTTCTGAGGGCTTCTCCTCCATTCCTTTTCCTAGATAACCTCCCTGTCGCGCCCCGAGGCTGGTCGAAAGGGCGGGCCGGACGTTTCGCCTGAGACTTCCTTCCCATTTAGGACCCTGAAGCTTGAATTTTGTAAGAGCTTCACGGATCGAAGGCGGGTGGTTTTCAAAATGTCGGTTTCGCCCTAGCGCCGCACACATTACTCGTCTTAAGAATTTGCAAGAGTTTCATGGATCGAGTCTGGGCCATCTTCAACATGTGGCTCTTGCGTTAGCGCCGCGCACATTCGTTTGAACAAGTTGCAATAGTTTCACGGGTTGAAGGCGGTTCCGTTTCAAAGTGTGGCTCTCGCTTTCGCGCCGCGCACATTCGTCTGAACAAATAAAAGAATGTCATGGATTCCTATGGTTGGCGTACCAGAAATTGTGTTTTGGAGCGACTCAGGGTTGTCAGGGCGCAACAGCTACTGTGATTCACGGTGTTGAAGTCCCAGGATTGATGTTCTGGCAAGATTCAGGATCGAAAAGACGCAAGAGTCTGGTCGATTCGTGGCGTTGAAGTTCCGAGAATGGTACTTTGGTACACTTCAGCATCTCCCAAAGGTGTCTCCCAACGGGGCACTTCCCCCAGAGGACATGAATGCTTGTAGGGGCCTATAGGGGGGAGCTTGGAGGGAGTGTTTGTTCCACCCTCGTTGATGAGTCTTGGGTTTACACTGGTCCTCCTCCTCCCCCTCCCCCTCCCCCTTCCCCCCCCTCCTCCTCCTCCTCCTCCTCCTCCTCCTCCGCCTCCTCCTCCTCCTCCTCCTCCTCCTCCTCCTCCTCCTCCTCTCTCCACAGCCGCTGAACGCGTCACCCAATCCGAAGCCGTTCCATAACGATGTCCAAAGCGACTCGTTTGTCATCTTGATTGAAGACCACGTCGAGCACGACGCCCGACAGGTCGCAGGCCTGGGCGTCCTCCAGCATGCCCACCCGCAGGCTCTCGAGATGCTGTTCTTTGAGCGCCCTGGGGTCGACGTACTTGTCGGCCAAGCGCAAGAGGACGTCCCGCACCTCGCTGTGGCCTCCGACAGCGCCGCCGCCCACCTTGCAGCCTTCTGCGTGCACGAGACCAACGGTCCCTCCCGGCAGCGCCCCGCATGCACCCCGGCGCCCGGTGTGCTGACAGTGCGTCTCCGCTGTCACAGGAGAAACTGGTTGGTCTGTGGTGCAAAGAGGGGGCTTGCGCAGAGCCATGCGCCACGCCCCGTCGGCCATCGCGCACCCCGTCTTCTTGGGTACGCAAAGAAGGCTGCCCGCTCCCGGGCCGCCGCCATGGCGTTTCTGTGCACCACTTCTGGGAGCTGGTTGAGAAGGCCCGCCCGCGCCACGAACATCACGGCGTCCATCAGCTCCCGCTGCTTCTCTTCGGCGGCTCCTGCGTGAGGTCCAGCTTCTGGTTCTCGTGCCGCAGAGGGGGCGACAGCGTCATGAGCTCCGCGCGCGCCCTCCGCAAGGCCGCTGCCAAAGCCGAGAAGGCAGCTTCGAGACCGGCACCGGCGTAAGTGGGAGCCCGCCGTATTGCCTCCACAGGTGATGTCGCCACCCAGCCACGCCCCCTGAGATCCTAGGTCGCCATGGAGACGCTCAAGGGCCAGATCGCTGAACTGAAGGATCTTAGGATGGGTCCCAGCGAAGAAGGCTGCCGCGGCGCGCGGGGTAGCCAGGCCAAAAGCCGCTCCACCGTCTAGAAGGGGTAAGTTGCCCAGCTGGCGCTGCTGCGGCGTCAGGTTCACGCCGATGAGGCCCTCTCATGCCTCCGCCACCGCCTCGTCGTAGTGGGCCAGGGCGCCAGCACTCGAGATCCTTCTCCCGCGCCTGCTTGAGGCTGGCCGCCGTGTCGCGGACCAGGGCAGCAGCCTCATGAAGACCCTGCTCTGAGGGCCCGAAACCAGAGGCCAAGGCTTCCTCGCGGTCGTGCTGGTACAGCGTGTTTCCAAGCTCTGGCAGATCCTGGACGACTGCCGCCTCGAAGGTCCGTGGCAAGCTCGGGGCGGACGTCTCCGACTTCAATCAGACCTTGATCGTCTCGGGGGCGATGCGGAGACCGACCGCAGCAAGCTGGGGCGCAGGGGCGTCTGCGAGGCAGCCAGCTGTCGGCGTAGGCGACGATCGTCGTGTCCAGGCCAAGCCGGCGCAGCTCCGCCTGAGTCTCTGCCAGCACCTCCGCGAGAGCGCCGCAGAAAAGACATGTGCTTACTCAACGGGCAGCCCTGTGGCACGCCAGTGGCCTGTTCGAGCCAGGTGACGCTGCCGTCGTTGGTGTCGAAAGCGTTCTGCGCGGGCGTGCCGAGCAGCCTGTCGACGAGGGGGGCGAGCCAAGGCGCTCGCTCTTGCACGGCCTCCTACACGGCGCGGCGACGAACGCTGCCGTAAGCGTTCTTTGGGTCGAAGCTCAAGACACCCCTGCTCGCCCCGGACGCCACGTTCACGTAGAGCGCCTTGAAAGCGGCGTCCGCGCCGCCCGCCTGCCCCAGAGCGAATTGCATCTCGCCGACGGCGTCGCGCACCTCTTGCCGTTTCCGGCGTAGGAGGGCCCTGAGCGCCAGGCACCGG